CCCCCCATGTCACCCGCCCGTGCTCCAGGTCCCACCTCCGCCCAGAGCCCCATGCGAAGTGGGTCGGGGTGAGAAGGGACCCGGTGGCCGTGCTCACCTTGGGGGGGATGCGGTAGTCCTGGAGGATGACCTCCTGCGTAGTGTATCTCTGCAGGGTCACCGCCACGGGGTGCAGCCTGGGGGGCACAGGTCCCACGCACCTGGTTTTGGGGACAGCCTGGCCCACCCACGTCCCACCTCGGTGCACCATGTCCCAGCAGTGCCAGAGATTTGGGGAGGGAAGAGGCTGGGGGTGTTTTTCAACGGGGGTTCCTCCTCACCTGAGCGTCTCCTTGATGGCGGCTTTGAGCAACCGGATGGTTTTCAGCATCTTCACCCTGTCCCCCGCTGCCTCCCGCTTGGCAGCCAGGACCTCTGCCCGCAACTGCTCCTGGATCCCCGGGGACCGTGCCAGCTCGAACATGGCCCACTGCAGCGTCATGGAGGTCTGGAGCGGGGCAGGAGAGCAAGGCTCAACACCAGCCAGGACCTTCTCCCTGCCCAACAACCCTGCCTGCTCCTTACCGTGTCCACCCCGCCCGCCATCATCTCGGTGATGCTGGCCTTGATGTCATCCAAGGGCAGCTTGTCCTGCATGATGAGGCTGCAGAGGATGCCCATGTACTCCTTGGTGCTCTTGCGTTGCAGCCGCAGGTCCCGGTAGACGTTTTGTATGCATTTGTCCGCTGAGGAGACACAGAGGCACGGCGTGGTCTTCCTCCCCCAGGGCCACGGTGGAGGAGGAAGGCACCAGATGTGGCACCTTAGGACATCACTGCCCCAATGCTGGTGGCTTTTCCATCACAGTTGTCCCTGCAGCAGCCTGGGACTGCGGTCCCTGCTGTGGGAACCAGCAGTGGCTGGGTGGGCACAGAGGGTGGGGGGTGAGGGTGCCCCAGGGGGGGACACCCTGTGGGAGAGTGGTCCCAGATGCCAAAAGCTCTCTGAGGCCACAAACGCCTCTGAGAGAGCTGCTCCCCTAAATGTGATGCCCATCATCTGCCCTTCATCGCTCCTGGATGGTCCCCCACTGCTCCATCCCACAAGCTCCAGATGTGGAAGGCCTTCCTGGCCTTGGTGGCCCTGTGCTGGGCGGTTGGACCTAGGAGAAGGTCTCCACGCTGGTGAGATGAGGCTGCACTATGAAGGCGAGTCCTCAAAGGGGCCTTGGGTGACACAGGGAGGTGCGGGCAGGAGGAGCGCTCACCCTGGGTGAAGATGGCATCCCAGGCCCAGACATGGTCCCTCCACGTCTTGGCGTTGAGGTGGCGGAGAAGGGCGGGTGGCAGGTAGAGCATGGGCGAGGTGGTGTGGAACATCAGGGTCACGGCGTCGATGAAGCGCTGAGCCTCGGGGTCCACGAAGTCCTGCAGCAGCCCCAGCCGCTCCCCGTACAGCACGTGGCACACGGCTGCGAGCACATCACCCATGAGGGGACCTGGCCAGAGGGGACCCCATCCCCGTCCCCTCCACCCTCCCATGGCCAACTCCAGCCTTTCCATGGCTTCGGGAACATGGCTTGGCCTCCTCCTCGCTCCGAGCATCACAGGGCCATGGAGGCATCCCTTGTTGGGTAGGGTTGGCTACCAGTTGATGACCAGTAGGTGATAAAACTGTTTTATCAACAGTGTTGAGTTGTTCTCTACTTGTCTGGAGAGAGGACATCCCTCTAGACCCTACGGCTTTGGGAGAGAAGCTTGTTTGCCCATCTCGGAGGATGAAGCTGGGGG